ACTGGTTCCCTTAGGAGGTCACCTGGCGGTGTGGGAGCCCCTGCCAAGTGTGCTTCATTGGGTCCTGCACCGAGTAGGCTGTGGTCTAGTCTTCCTAGCATATGACGTGGGTCTGAGGGCCGTAGTTTTCAATAGGAGACTTCAGCTATGAGAGTCCTGATGCTGTGGCTCAAGACCTCGGAGGGCAGGCCCCTCTGGAGAAGAGAAGTTCACACCGCATTACACGGTGCCCGTCTCTCCTCAGTGCCCTCAGGAGGTCGGTCTGCCAACCCTGCCGTGTTCCAGGGCGCAGCGGTCTCCGGCGAGCACTTCTCTCAGTTACCACCCGTAAACATAGCGGTACTAAGAGGCTCGCTACCTCTACGGAGGTATCATGAGCAGCTAGTTCGGCTGTCCCCTGCCGGTGTGCCGCTTCTGGGCACACCAGAGATCAGTCTCGAGAGATTATTTAGCAGCGTGGAAGCTACTGCCAAATGTGTCTCAATGGGTCCTGCATACTGTAGAAAGAGGCTACAGAATCCAGTTCGGTTCTCGTCCGCCTCGATTCAACGGGGCCCCACACTCTAGTGGGTCCCGAGCAGGCTCTGGTATTAGAACAAGAAGTAGTTACTCTCTTAAAGAAGGAGGCCATCGAGGTGGTCCCTCCGCACGAGACAGATTCCGGGTTCTACAGCCGGTACTTCATTGTCCCGAAGATGAATGGGGGGTTGCGTCCTATTTTAGATCTGCGCCTATTGAACCGCTCAGTCATGCGACTGAAGTTCAGCACACCCGCACTCAAGCCGGTAGTGTCTCAGACCAAGTCCGAGGACTGATGTGTCACGATCAGTCTAAAAGATGCACATATCTCCATCCTTCCTCATCATAGGAAGTTCCTGAGGATTGCTTTTGGGGGCAAAAGCCTACCAATATTGGTTCTTCCTTAGGCCTTGCACTCTCACCCCACACTTTCATGACTCAACCACATCGACGATTGGTTGATATTAGCTCAGTCTGAGCGGATGGCGGTTCGACATCGAGATGTCGTTCTCGCTCACACGAAAGAGCTGGGGTTAAGACTTAACGCCAAGAAAAGTGTGCTTTCTCCAGTACAGAGAACCACTTATCTGGGCGTGGTGTGGGATTCGACCACGATGCAGGCATGTATGTCTCCTGCTCGGATCGAGTCGATCCTCACCTCAGTCGCGAGAGTAAGAGAAGCCCGGTCACTCACTGTCAAGCAGTTCCAGACTGCTTGGGCTGATGACAGCTGCGTCCAATGTGATAACTCTTGGCCTGCTGTACATGAGACCCCTACAGTGGTGGCACAATAACAAGGGGTTCTCCCCGAGGGTAGATACCTTGGTTCTTTTCTCAGGGCCCGGTGCTGGGAGCTCCTTGTCGCCACGTATGCTAGCGACGGATGCATCCCTCACCGGTTGGGGTGCGGTCATCAGTGGCCACCCTGCCCATGGTCTGGAGTGGTCGCCATCTGACGTGGCATTCAATTGTCTGGAGATGCTGGCCATGTTTCGAGTTCTGAAACACTTTCTCCCAGACCTAAGAGGTCACCATGTGTTGGTGCGCACCGACAACACAGCGGTGGTCTCTTACATCAACCACCAGGGAGTTCTGCGTTAGTGCCCCTTGTACAAGCTGGCGCACCAGATACTTGTGTGGTCCCAGGGCAAACTCCTCTCGCTGAGAGCAGTTCACATTCCTGGGCATCTCAATATGGGAGTAGACATCCTGTCGAGGCATGGGCTGAGGCCCGGAGAATGGATGCTTCACCCCGAGGGGGTGAAGCAGATATGGAGAGTGTTTGGCCAGGCTCAGGTGGGCATGTTGCGACTCATATGATATCACACTGTCCCCTCTGGTTCTCTCTGACTCATCCAGCTCCACTGGGGCTGGATGCCATGGTACAGACGTGGGCCGAGGCTTTGTCTGTATGCCTTTCCTCCGATTTTTCTGCTCCCGGGAGTTCTGGAGAGAGTGCACCGGGACGGGGCCCGTCTGTTGTTAGTATCAGTATCAGAGTTGGGTCTCAGGCCTGATTTCTCTCCTCAATGGCGCTCTATGGGAGATTCCCGTCAGGAGAGATCTCCTCTCACAGGCGGAGGGCACGCCCCCGCCCGGAGCTGTGGAAGCTGTGGGTGTGGCCTCTGAGGAGGCACAACTCATAACTTCCAGACTCTCAACCAAGGTTGTTGAGACTATCCTCCATCCAGAGCTCCCTCTATGAGGAAACTGTATTTCTGCGGAGACCGCCAGCCAGCTAACTGCCCGTTTGGTACTGTTCTGGAGTTCCTGCAGGCCTGTTTATCCGCAGGGTTGACCCACACCACCCTAGAGGGCTTAGTGGCGGCCATTGCGGCCTACCACGCCCCTCTCGGTGGCCTTTCAGTGGGAAGCCACCCTCTTCTTACACGTTTCCTCTGTGGTGCGCTGAGGCCGAGGCCTCCGGCCAGAGAAGCTTAGGCTAAGTGGTGGATCAGGATGCTATTACATAGACTCTAGTCCTCTGATCTCCCCTCTCCTTTGGGGGTCAAGATTCACTCCTCCAGAAGTTGGCCTTCGGGATGGCGAGCCCTGCCTACTTTAGCCACTCCGGGCTCTTCTGTTCTCTCACCCTAGCTGTGCAGTCTTCCACACTAGGCAGAGAATTGGAAGTCTGGCGGTGTGGGCATTCTCGTTCCCCTAGCGTTTTCCGACGCAGCTCGAGTTCCTGAAGAGGAACGTCTCAGGTTACCTATGTAACCCTGGTTCCTCGAGGGAACGAGATGCTGCGTCTCGGTGCCATACTTCCGGCATCCCTGCCAGCGCTTGCCTCATTCCTGAAGCTGACGCTGGCTCTGCCGCACGTGCTTTTATAGCTTCCTGGTCATGACGTCACCCGCCCGTGACGTCCCGCTCAGCTATTGGACTGATTTCACATGTTATTCAGAGCGTGGTCACAGAAGGCGTTCCCCTAGCGTTTTCCGATGCAGCATCTCATTCCCTCGAGGAACCAGGGTTACATACATAACCTGAGATGTTTTCGAGTTATGGTTAATGGTAACATGACATGCAGGTAAACAAATCTTTTTAGCAAGTGCTTTATTTTGGTTGTTGTTATTTTAAAATTATTTATTTTAATTTTACACTTTTATGATTTAATTAATTATTAGATTTTCGTTGAATTCACAATTATTACATTTTCGTTGAATTCACAAACCCCGTGCAGCGGCAGTTACACCACTGGGGCTGCTTCATATGAGACCGCTTTAGCACTGGTTTCATGGCTGAGTCCTGAGGTGGGCGTGGCAACGCGTCACTCACCGGGTCCAAGTTACACCGGACTGTCGCCAAACCTTCACCCCATGGTCAGACCCTGCGTTCCTCTGGGCAGGAGTGCCCCTAGAACAGGTCTCCAGGCATGCTGTGGTTTACACGGATGCCTCCACCACCGGCTGGGGGGCCATGTACAACGGACACGCAGTGTCAGGGGTGTGGATGGGCCCTCAACTGCGCTGGCATGTCAATTGCCTAGAGCAGGTGTGGCGAATGTCGGTCCTGGAGAGCCGCAGCCCTGCAGAGCTTTGCTTCAACCCTAATCAAACACACGTGAACAAGCTAATCAAGGTCTGAACGGTTACTAGGAAGCTACAGGCAGGTGAGTTTTTATTAGGGTTGGAGCTGAACTCTGCAGGGCTGAGGCTCTCCAGGACTGGAGTTTGCCACCCCTGGCCTAGAGGTTTTAGCGGTGCGCTTTGCCTTGAACCGTCTAAAAGTGTGCTTACGAGGCAAGCACGTGCTGGTCCCAACAGACAACACGGCGACCATTGCGTACATCAACCGACAAGGTGGTCCACACTCCCGTCGCATGTCGCAACTCGCCCGCCACCTCCTCCATTTGGAGTCGGAAGGTTCTGAGGTCACTTCGTGCCATTCACATTCCGGGTCTGCTCAACCGTACGGCCGACGAGCTGTCACAAGCTACGCTCCTGGGAGAATGGAGACTCCATCCCCAGGCGGTCCAGCTGATTTGGAGACATTTCGGAGCCGCTCAGATAGACCTGTTTGCCTCTCCATAAATCTCTCACTGCCAGTTGTTCTCCAGGCGGTCCAGCTGATGTGGAGACGTTTCGGAGCCGCTCAGATAGACCTGCTTGCCTCTCCAGAAATCTCTCACTGCCAGTTGTTCTACTCCCTGACCGAGGGAACACTCTGCATATGAGTAAGTGCTTCCGAAACCTCCTTCAGGAAGGATGGGGCATCCGCAACGTTCCTGTTCCAAGTGGAACGGGTACGTTTTCCCAGTGTTATCCAATCTCACTGAGTGGGTAGTGCTACGATAACGGTGACTGGTCTTCCTGTTGCGAGCCCCGGCCTACACCAAAAAGGGACGCAGGCAGCTCGCACAGGACACTGGAAGGGGCAGCATCCATGGCTCTTTGGTAGGGATCCCAGTTCGTCGGTCACCATGCGTTGAATCGATGCAATCATCGCATGCCAATGTGCATTGGCTCGTTTAGTTTACACTCTAAGTGGATTGGTCTCTCTAAGCGAGATCCCAATTCGTCGGTCACTGACGTTACATCACTGTTCCCTCCTTCAGGGAACGAGGGTTACATACATAACCTAGACATTTTGTTGTATGGAAAACATGCAAACATTATTATTCCATTTTGATGTTCCGCAGTGGCACCATGTGACACAACAGCAGATATGTTAAATTAGGGGCTGCTATTTGCTCGCCTCTAGGGTCCATCTGGGCTGAGGCCTTGTAGCTGACCTTTAAACCCCCTGATATCAGCTCTGCACACACATTGCAAAATTCATTTATTAGGTTTTGATGAAGCTTTATTGGGGTTATACTTCAAAAACCTTGTAGCATATGTTCATACATAAATCCCTTTTCATGTAGATAATGACTAGTCCTGACACTATGCTCTTGTATAATTATGTATTATGACCCCAACTGAACAAAATACAAAACTTAATGGATTATTAATTCTTCTAAAGTTGTTAAGAATAGAGGTTACTTATTCCTGTGATGCAAAGCTGAATATTCAGTATCATTACTCCAGTATAAAGTGTCACATTATATATATATATATATATATATATGATATTTAAAAACTAATTTAAAAATGCATGCTGTCACATTGCCTGTTAATATTTTGTGTGATTCTTTCTTAGCTTAAAAATACATATTCTTATACATGTATCATAATAGAATGTTACCGTTTTAAATATGAAAAAATTAAAAATTTTGATTGAATATATGTTGTCCAGTATACTGAGCATTTGGAATTTGCTAAAAAAAAAGATCTTACTGTTCAAGGTCAAGTTTGGGATCTGTAAGATATTTTTGAGAAAAATTACTTATGCTTACCAATGTTGCATTTATTTGATTAACAATACAGTAAAAAAAAAAAAAACGGTAACATTTTGAAATATTATTAGGGTTTAAAATAACTTTTCTATTTTAATACGTTTTAAAATGTAATGGATGGAAAGCTGTGTCACATCATCCTTCTGAAATAATTATAATATGCTGGTTTGCTGCTAAAGACACATTTTTATTTATTAGGATAAATGATTGAATAAATATCAATATCATATTTCATGTCCTCTGAATTTTAGTTTATATACCCTTAGACGCTGAATTGGTGTATTCAGCTAATAGTATGCAGCAAGTTAACTTTTTTTTTTTTTTTCAAAGTGATCACGTTAGTGTTTGTAAGTACCAGTGTGGATTCAGACGTTTCCATTCTGTGACTGATGAGGATAAAGCTACTCTTTGGTTGTCCAGACAGATGTGGATAGATGAGGAGAGAGGGTTTGAGAGAAAGAGTGATGGAGCTCTAGTAGGGTTATTCCGCAGGGGCTTTCGACTGAGAGTCCACTTATACTGCCTTGAGTTCCAGCACTCAGAATCAGACAGGTCTAATCAGCTCTGAGCAGACAGCGTCTGACCGCACAGATCACTGATTCAGATGAGCTCGGTGTGTCTTAAAGCCTCTGCCGAAAACGCGAGTGCATGACATGACAGACGGAGCGAGAGGCGAGCAGGAGGAAGTTGGGACTGAGCGGGAAGCAAAGGTTGACAGATGGAATTGTAAACAAAGGGAAATGCAGACAGGAAAACATCTTACTGGACATAGACTTCGAAGTCCGTTGGGATATACGTCGGATGCTGAAGGTGCCAACTGCAGTAGAAGCCTTTGGGATAGGTGTTTGATCGACACGTCACCTGCGGTTCCTTCGGAGGAACTGTGAAGAAAGCAGAAGGGTGGAAATGTAAGTACTTTGTCAGTAACAACACCTTCGGAAATCCATCAGCAGCCCAAAATACAAGTCCCAGGAGGCTTCTTTTTTTTCACGATATCCCCAGCTTCTTTGGCCGTGTAACCCCTTGAACCTCCCCTATTCCAAGCATCAAGTGGGAAAGGAAATGTAATAACCGCCCATGCCCTCCTTCCAGATTAGAGTCCTTTTTTACAGCGCCACTGGACCATGCCTACCACTGCCAGAATTGAAACTGATGACTTGGACCAGTTGCCAGGGTTACGCATAATATTACCCCTTCTCATGTGTTCCTGTGTGTGAAATGGAGAGTGATTTAAGCCCTGTTGGCTGTTGAGCGCCGCCTTCTCCTTCCTCATCTCCATCGGCCCCCGGGGGCCTGACAAACAAGAGCCCGCAAGAAACAAAACCGCTTCTAAAGCTCACCTATGGGCTCCCCTTTGAGCTTTGATTGCGCTAAACACCGCAATAAGCTGGCAGCTTTTACACACGTTCTTTCCTTACGTGATTGCGATGAAACTGGCTTTGAGATTTTTGATGGAGATTTCGGCAAAGTATCTATGCACTTGTGGGAACTTGCGGTTCTCCTAAGGCCTGATATAAAAGGCACAGACTAAAAAACATTTGAAAGTGTCTTTAAGCCCTTTCTGTGCCATGTGAATAGTGGTGCTTGCTAAGGTAAGCACCATTATTACGGCAAATAACCTAACCTATGTGAAACTATGGTATACAACTGACAACTTTTTTGTGTAACACACATGAATGATGCCTCAAATTGTGTTCAGTTACTTTAGACAGTCAACTTAGTGGACAATAAAACAGACAAAAAAGTGACCCAAATATAGAAACTAAAATTGACAGACTTGAGGGTTGGCTCTTTTGATTTGGGCCAATCAGCAACCACCAATAATACCCTGGCAACCATGTTGCAATACCCTAACAACCACCAAGAACACCCTAGCACCCAGATCTTTTTGTATTTTATTTTTTCAAAAATATTTATTTATTGCAGTGGTTTAAGAATAAACAAGGTAAAAAGCAAATATAATAATAATAATAATAATAATGATGATGATGATGATGATGATGATACTACTACTACTACTACTACTAATAATAATAATAATAAAGCCAGTTATATAACACAAATCATACTTGCATTCTAAATAGATTGAGAAAACAAGCCTTAACATCATATGCAGTTTTTTATTAAGGTAAATAAATCATGTTGAGATGTTTTTACTTTAAAAACAAGACAAAGAATATTATTTTATAAGTCCAGAAACAAGTATTACCTATTAGTCCCTCCTTCAATAAACTCTTACACTGACCCCTCCAGAGTTTTCACTTTAAGTCTAATACATGTAATTTTCAATGTATTTTATTTTATATATTATTTTACAGCAGGATGTGAAATTTTCTGTGAAAATGCTGTCCTTTTAAATCACTCTGCTGTTACTTGGGTGAAACATATTGTTCAATTCATTAGTCAACAATGAAGAATCAATTACGAATTTAGTTTTACTCTTTTGCGAGGAAATAAACAAGAATAATGACCAAAAATTGGGTAACTGCAAACCACACATTGCTAGACTAAAACAGTGAAATGAAATTAGCTGTGTGAGAAAACAGGATACAGGAGATAGGAGAACACTTGTTAGAGGAGAGGAGGAGTCCGGAGCACGATGCGTTTGACCTGACATTCCATCCATGAGCTGCGAGCTCAGAGTTTAGACAGGTTCTCCTCAGGAGGTGCATTCCTCCATAGAGTTGTGCCTGCAGGAGGCCTTCCTCAACCTCAGGCCAAATGGGCATGCTGACAGCTCACGGACCATTATCCCCGGCTACTAATAACACCGGAACCCTCCCCTTGCACTTCCCCACCCTTCCCAAAGGAAAGTGCATGACTATCCACAGAGTGGAAGATCTCAGAGACATTCTCCAAAGAGACGAAAGCGGCAAAACAAAAGAAGGTTGCTTTTCTGAGAGAATTTGCAACCTAGCAACACCTCGATTGTTTCCTGTATGTTTTTTTTTCTTTCCCCCCTTTTTCTAGGACAGAATGTTGTTGAAGTGACAAAAGACATATCTCAGTGTTCTTCCTTACGAGTGATTTCATCTAAGCTACCGGTGCCAAAGGAACAGCGTTAGCCGGAGATGTGGAGAAGCTAAACAAAAGTGTAACTTAAGCCATTTTGATCACACTAGCATTATAGGAAATGAAAGGGAAGCTATTTAAAGTGCTTAGTTAGGAGGGGTGAATCTCATAAAGAAAGTTCTAAGTTATATTTCAATGGAAAATAGAAATGAAAAAAATATATATAATATTATGAGTTTTTTAATATATAATAAACTAATAAACATATACACTAAATAAAACACACTAAAACACTGCTTTACGTAAAGCAACAACATGGGACCGTTTGCCTCATTGATGTGAAACTCAAAAAGTGATAAGGCCACCCCACCCCCCAATATAGTCAGCAAGACCTCACTTTATGTAGCCATAACACTTCGGAGTGCTGTCATATCATATCAAGGCCTAGCAAATGATACCTTCCAAACTCTTGGTACAAAAAGAGAAACTTCAGTACTATTTGTAATAAAAGCTGATAATTGCAGTCAATGAAGAGGTGCAATTTAGCTGTCAGACGAAGTACACTTAATGGTGAAAAAAAGTCCTTCTCAGCCTTCCGGAGTCCTGTTTTTCTATATTGATGCAATTTAAATGAAACATGCGAAAACATTTGCCTTTGACCTTGGCTGCTTATTCTTTAACCCCACTTTAAATCTGAATCCTGCTTGTCACTCAAGGCACTGAAAGCATAATGTGTGATTCTAACCGAGTCTACGACCCTAGAGGCATCAGGTAAACTCTTTTCACACATTCAACAAATCCAGCTGGTCATACAAAATACAAAAAAATAAGGCTGCACTATTGGCCCCCTGCGTTGCTGGCTGTCTGCTCCCTAATCTGAGGCCATTAAAAGGCCGGCCCAATGAAAGACGTCAAGCCGCCAGGCCACATAAAAGGCAAGCAAGTGAATCTCAGGCGACCACCACTATCATCACTAACTGCTGATCTGTCAAAGCTGGGTCGGAGCCTCCCCTCCGTGACACGTCTGGAATGTGGACTATGTGCTCGGCAATTGGAAGCAGTGGCGAGAGCAGTGCGGGTCAGGGAATGGGGGTCAAGTTGCATGGAAGGGCTCTACCTGCAAAAAAAAAGTGGAGATCATTTGCAGGAAACCCCTAATGTTGTCTCGACCAGCACCTAACGTGCTGTCTGACACAGCTGACAAGTGGTTCTTAATCTGGAAGCATGCTGTGGGCGTTTGAAAGCATAATTATTTAATTTGAATACAATACCTTGAAACAAAGACATGTGGTCTAATACGATCACTTAACATTTTTAAATATTTGATTTAACACGTGGGCGCTCTATACAAAACTTGACCTGTGAAATCAATGACACATGCAACATTTTAAACATATTCTGGTTCACTGGGCAGCAGCATCTAAATTAATCATGATACCTGGTCCACACAGGCATTTATGATTTGTTTTTTATATGCATTTTTAAGAATCTTATTTGGTCATTCTATTACTGTATTATAACTATGTTATAAATAAATTATTATCATATTTGTTGTTCATCTATGCATGCTATACTACAATGTACATTATGATTTTTTATCTATCATTTTTCTATTATGTAGTTACCCTAAATTGTGCTTTTATTATTGCAGCTTGTCTAGAAGACCAGGGTTTAGGGGGTGGGGTCTTCAAACAGACAAAACCATCATCATAAATTAGTCACAGTGCTTGTCCTGAGCAAAAAGTGCCTGGCTGGCATCTTTTCAAAGAACAGCTTTGCTCTCTCTGTGCATGCATGCAAATTCATCTTATGCCTCGGATCCTAATCGATAGTTCAATATAAAAAAGCCCCATAAATCCTCGACAGAGGTGCATGAATCGGAATGAGGGTGATTCTATAGAAGACCACTGCTATAGACCAACTAAATGAATTGTTCTCTCACAAGAGCCAATAAATCATCAATCTCCTCTGAGTATGTATTGTGTCATGGATGTACAGAAATTGAGCGCTAACCACAGAGTCTGTTCTGGTTCCCCCTTTCATGAACAAAAAAGACGGCACTTTACTCATGCTGTGTTTTGTCGCTAAAACATTTCTCCTCTCGACCATATGTTTCGGCACACCGTAGAGACAAACAGAGCTGAGCAAATGGGACAGGAAAAAGCCAGTCAGCAATCTTTAGCAAAACCATTTCAAAGCGTTGCACGAGCGAAATCCACTTTGTATGGTGACAATAAATCTAAGAGTAATATACTGTGCAGTGTTAACAGTCCATGGCGTTAACAATCCATTTTAACAGTGAAAGCTGCAGAAAAAACATGGGTTATACTTTGTTTTTAAAAAGCCTGGTCTCAATGGCTTTGACAGTGTAGGTGCTGTTGTTTTCACTCAATGTGTGTTCGGTCAGGCTCGTCTAGTAATGTAAACCAGCTCTCGACAGCTTCAGATCACTAGATTTAGACTGTTTTCTTACCTATGAAAAGAATAATTTAGCATGACGTGTCCCCATCCCTTCAAAGGCTAAATGTAGTAATTAAGTAATACTTTTACTACAGGTTAAATGTATAACAACATGCAATTAGTTTAATATGTAACATTCCCCCCAGCTTTTCGAACAGGTTGCTATAATTGTCTCTTGTTCAGAGCTGAGCTGTGTGATGCTGCTAAAACCAACAGGCAAACCTTTAGAGACCAGTCAGAGCTTTCCCAGAAATCCACATCACATCTCGGCCTACATTATCACCAGTCATGCCTTTTAGCCCTTTGTGACCAAAACAACCAGTCTAAGATTATATCCACTTCAGTGAAATTGCACTGAAAATACTCCTACATTCTATGAGTTGAATTTCAAAGGTAGCAACACAAGTTG